CGGCTGCCGGAGGGCGGGGACACTTGTGTGCCCTGGGGGCAGGGCCCCCCCATCGCCGCGTGCCCGGGGTGCCCCCCCCAAGCGCCGGACGCCTGGGGCCGGCGCCCCCCTCCCAAGTGCCACGTGCCCGGGGCCGGCGCCCCCTACAAGTGTCGCGCTTTCCCTTCCCTTCCCTCCTCCTCCCCCTCCCGTACCTTCTGCCTTCCTCTGTGTGGGGCCTGAGTCTGTGCTCTGTCCCCGGCTTCCCCCTCTCCCCCCCCCCTCCACACAAGCTCCTTCTTCTCCCAGCCCTTCCCCTCTGCACAAGCCCCTTCCTCTTCCAGCCCTTCCCCTACCTTCTGCCTTCCTCTGTGTGGGGCCTGAGTCTGTGCTCTGTCCCCGGACTCCAAACCCGCAACTCAGCCATGCGCTCATCACAGTGCCCAGCAAGTTTAAAATCCCGGGCTGTGACGTTATGTCACGTCCGGGCGTCTCTCCACCTGCTGGTTTGAGTGTGCTACGCAGGGCAGCAGCAGCAGCCAGCCAGGGGGAGCTCAGGGAAGGTCGCGCATGGCAGGGACGGGCTCTCTCTCTTTTTCAGAAGGGGCGGGGGAGCGCTGGCTCCTCGCAGAACCCCTCGTTGTGCTCCGCGGAAGCCCAGGGTTCCGCGGAGCGCCAATTGGGAAACACTGCTGTAGGTAGTCTACCTCTCTCTGCAGCAGTAGATAGATAAGGGAAGAATCCTTTTCTGCATGGACACACAAAGTTAGGTGAGCATTGTTGGGGAGCTCAAAGGTGTGAACTAGTTACACCGTGGAGCATTGTAGTTGTTGAGTCAATTTTTAGGTATAGGCCAGGCCCAAGCAAGGTTTGAGTTGAAGCTTTTAAGTATTAGACAATCAAATTTCAGCTTACATTTTATGTCCTTAAAAAGCTGCTGTTCTGCTTGCAACCAACAATGTGAACTAATAGTATGTTTAATAACTATAAATGGACTTCTCAAGCGTCTTTAAAGTCTTGTTTTTATTTTTTCTGTTATCTTTCCTATCCCTCTTATGGCTTTGTAGTCTGACCCTTTGTCTTCTGGGAACTCTGCTGCTAAAGAGGCTAAACTGTTGGAACTTGTCTCCAAGCTTAGGAAGGTAGAATGTGTACATTGGACCTTGTTTCTGCTTGCTGCTTTCGCTTTTCATGATTACTAACACAGGCAAATGGGTATGAGAGTAGAGAGGAAATCCTTTTACAGGATTTATTAAATTTTTACATTCCTTATTTCCAACAATGCAATATTTTCGTGGTGAGAAGTAAGTTGTTAGCAATGGTTGAACCATGAAATTCTGGTCTGGGAGGATTAATTGATCATCAATTAATGTAAGAATTGGTTCAGGTAGTAAGCTGTTTTGCACTGCATATGGACAAAAATGACAGTTGGCACACCAAAGCATGTTACGCTTGTTGCTATTACATTATTTTTCAGTATATTTGTAAAAACATAAATACTAGTTCTTAAATACTAGTTTGTTTTCATATTGACAGGCTGAGGAGAGGCATGGCAACATTGAAGAACGGTTAAGGCAGATGGAAGCACAATTGGAGGAAAAGAATCAGGAATTGCAAAGGGTATTGAAATATTTTTTTTAATATAGAAACCAATCTGAAAAGTAAAGCTAAGATCCCTCACATGGTTGTGGTAGAGTGGGATTGCCCTTCTACTAAGTCCCACCTCTGATGTTATGCTAAAAGTTGAGGTGAGGTTGAAGGGTTTGCTTGTTATTGCTCTTAATTAAACTTAGTGAATTTAATTTTGAGTTTTGAGTTTTCAGCTGAAACTTGAAACAGAATTCATAAGCCCCTTTGTTTATAAGATGACTTCCTCCCCCCCAAATTATAGAGAAGAAATGATAAAAAGTCACTGACCCATTTATAAGCCAAATCCAGATTACAGCAGTCCAGTCCCAGCTCCTCAGGGTCAGCATCAGCATGGAGGCTCTCAGCTGAGCTTTTGACACTTCCTGAGCCAGCCATGGGAAGGGACTGGGGCTGAAGGTTTTGCTGGTTGTCAGGAAGTGTTGAAAGCTAATTGTGTTAAGTGTTATCGGTTAGAAGTCTATCAGGTGAGAGACTCCATGCTAGTAGCTAGCAAGTCCTTCAGCACCTGTTGCTTGGTCCTGCTCTAGAAGAACCTGTTCATAAGCCGACCCTGCTCTTCATAGCGGGATTTCTTTCCAAAAAAAAAGTCAGCTTATGAACGAGTATACATGGTACATATCTACCACACTTTATTCTAATTAGCTCCCCCCCCCCTCAAAAAAAAAAATCTGTACCTACTAAGTAAGTTGACCTTGGAAGAGTTGGCTCTGCAGGCTTTGAAATCTACTGTCACTAGATTGTAAATGTTCACTTGGAAGTTTGCAAATCTGGTACTTCTGATTATCTGAAGGTTTCAGGTATCTGTGAAAGCCTTTGGATGATCAAGGGATCTGGAGTAATTGTGACGCATCGAGGATAGTGACAGTTTTCACAACCTGGTGATCTTTCTAAATGACATTGTTCAAATGTTATGTGGGACAGAAAATGTCAACAGCTAATCATACTTTCAATGCTTCCTAAATAACTTAGGCTAGACAGAGAGAAAAGATGAATGAAGAACATAATAAGCGTTTATCAGATACTGTTGATAAACTTCTGTCTGAATCCAATGAAAGACTCCAACTTCATCTCAAGGAAAGGATGGCTGCTCTGGAAGATAAGGTAGAAAATCATTTAATGTAATGACAAAAGTTGCTTAATTAATGAAATGTTTAGCAATATGCTTGTTACACATTTTACAATATATACATAATTTATTCTTGTAACTCTAGCAGTTATTTAACTTTTACCTGTAAATAACTTCCATTTAGAGACACTACTAGCATGCCTTTTTGAAAACAGCCAATTCTTTAAAAAACTATGCTAGTTCATCAAGAGTGCTTTTTATGTCCTAAATTTCATTCTTTAGGGGATTTTTTTTTTAAAAGGATTCTTGTGCGTGCTTACTGATGTTTGGTGTTGACCATATACATGTTTGCTTTGGGTCATATAAGAAGTCTGTTGCAAAATCAGGAACAGAACTTGCATGTTGAGTCCCCTCTCCTTTATATCTTTTACCCTCCTCCCCTTTCTTTCGTGTCAAGTTGAGTGATTCCTGGATGATGATGGTGATCTTGTCAGAGGAAAAATCATTTTTCCCTCCCAGAAGAATATCTACTTGAATATAAAAATGGTGCAAGAAGTGTTTTTTGTGATCAATTACTGCACATTTCAGATCTTCAAGTTTTATTTTTTTGTCCTCTTAATTCAGTATGTTTGGACTTTCACTTCTTACTGGTTCACTTCCATCTGTATTGACGACACAATTAGCAAAATACCCATTCCTTAACATCCTAACGGGAATCACTGGTGGCACTGAATTTTTCTTTCTTTAAGGATGAAAAAAATCCTTAAAGGAAAACAAAAATTCCTTCTGTGGTAATATTTTCTCCTTTTGATCATTGCTCCTTTGGATTCGTCTTCCCTATGGAAGATGTAGATTTGAGGCCTTTGGAATATGGTGCTCACCTGGAAAAAAATTTCAGTAAAAGTTAAATGGCCCTTTGTTTGTTTAAAGTTTCAACATTTTATGATCCACCTGAACTTTCAGAAGCACTTGTTTTTTGCTGTGATAGTGGTGTGTCAGCAGCACCCCTGCTGAGTTTGACAATACCATTCCAGAGGTTCTAGAGCAGGGGTTGGCAACCTACAGCACACATGCCATAAGTGGCACGCAAGCCAATTTTCAAAAGCACATGGCATTGGCAGAGGTCAGCCCTGCCTGTCCTCCCCCCTGCAGCTGCTGGAGCCCTCCCTCTTCCTTGCAGCTGGTTAGCTTGTGGTGGGAGGAGGCAGCTCTGGGGCTCCTCAGTGGCACCTCCAGGGCTGGCCCGGGACCACATGGCCACTGCAGCAGTGCCTCCAGCCTCCTACTGCCCTGTAGGCACTGCAGCCATGCGTTCCCATGCCGGCCCTGGAAGTGCCACTGCAGCAGCCCGGCCGGGGAGCAGATGCCTACCATTGGCACCTCCCTGAACTGGAGCGTGTCTCCACCATGTCACTGAAGCGGATATAGAAAGTGAGTGTGGATGTGCCCGGCCCTACTTGGGGGAGCTGGGGCTGGAGTGTGCCACGGGGAGACAGGGCAGAGCCAAGTTCTTATGGGGAGTGATGTGGAGGGGAGTGAAGGGAGGGTTCAGTTGGGGGAATGAGCTGTGTGGAAGGGGAGCTGTGGTGGGGAGAGTCACTGGTAGGGGAAGGGGCTGCAAGGTAGGGGGCTAGTGAGGGACGATCTATTGTAGGAGAAGGGTGTGAGGGAAGATGAGAACTGCAGGCAAAGGGCTGCATGAGAGGGACGCTGGGAGGAAAGGGAGGGAAGGGAAGCTGATGGCAGGGGAGAGGGAGGATTTCAGGGGAAGAGATGCTGAATGGGCAGTGAGAACTTTGTGATGCCTATGTGAAAGGGTAGCAGTGGGTGTTAAATCTTGGCTGTAGTTCTGCTCCTCAGAGTAATGGGGCTCTCATATCTTTGCTTATAACAGTGGGGATATTGATGGTTTATTATTGTTTCTGGGAGACCGTTCTTTGTTCCTCTTCCCCCATGGAAATGGAATATCAGTCTGTGGGTTGGAGGAGGATTGTCTGTAGCACCCTATAGTAATGGTGCTTTGCACAAGGTTAAACTTTATCCAAACTCTTATGCAGCTCCAAATACTAATCTTCACAAGGCCCAAGTGAAGTGGGCCATCCCTGAATCTCAGTCCTCTCCGTCCTTTCCCCCTCACCTGGTGAGGCTGGAGTGTCAGAAGAGTGAGGTTTCTCAGTTGGGAGCCACATCAGTGCGGGTTGGGGGTTTTGGGGGAGGTTGTGGGGTTTGGTTTTTTTTTTTTTTGGTTGCTTCTCGCTTGTCTGATCCCCAGCTGGATTTTTCTGTGGGTCAGTGGCCCCAATTCCAAAAAGTTTCCCCACCCCTGCCATAAAAAAGAGAACATTGCAACCTTTTCTGTTGGAAATAATATTTTACTTAGTTTATCAAACTTCATTTTAAATAGACTAGAGAGTTAAAACATTTAATCCTTTCCCCCCAGCGCACAGATATGTGAATAAATTAAATCTTGGCACGCCACTTCTGAAAGGTTGCCAATCCCTCTTCTAGAGGCAGATGTTGTCTTAGCTAGAATCCCAGAAGAGCTTTCCTCTCAACCGGTAACTGAGGAAAATCAGGCATGACTGAATAAAATTCTACTGTAGCCCAGTTGGCCCTTGTTCTAGGATCTAATGAATGAAGCGCTGAAAGTGCATTACGTCTGAAATATTTGGGCTGTGAGCTTAGCACAGTGGGGACGCAAGATTGAAAGCACTGTCCTACTCCCAGCACCCATGAATATATTTTAGGTGTTCTGTTAATGCCAATCTGTCTTGTCTAACCATGGTACCAAATCTTTTTCTGGAATAAGACTGACTGCACTCTAAGTTTGAGATACTGTTAATGAAGTAAAAGGAAATTAAGTAAACAGAAAGAAAGAAACCAACAAAAATGTATAATTTAATACAATCTCATTTTTCTTTATCCAGTTCGTTAAACCTTTCCTCCCAGATTGTTCTAGATTGTGGCTTACAGTGTTTCAAAACTAAATTAAGATGCAAAGAATAAAAAAACTTTTGAAGAGAACTGCGTGTGACAGGGTTGGGTGTGGGGAGGAGAAAATGAGTCAAAAGGTTATGGACTTCCTAAAAAAACTTCCTCTTTGCAGTGAAAATCTCATTTTCATTATTATTATTTACTATAGTCAGATACATTATTGGAGATCTTGTGCTTCATCTTAAGGAAGCCAAATGCTTTCGTGTTGGTTACTTTGTAGCCGACAAACAACCTTAGTAGCCTGTGTAAGGGAGTCTTTTTGAGCGTTTTGAGCAAAACCACATGCTCTTGCTAAAGAGAACTATGAGTGTAAAGGAGTTTACAATTTTGGACCGCTGACAAATTACCGTATGGTGATTATGCAAATCAGACAAATATAACCAGGATTAGGGAACTCTAATGACCAGGAAAGATTATAGATCATTAACTGTACAAAAATGCTGTTTTGTTTGAGATGCATCTTTTTTTAATTAAAATTATCTTTCTGCTACTTAGAATAACTTTTTCAAAAGAAAGCTAGAAAACTGATACAACTACTGATGATTAATAGAGCCCTGCACAGATACAAAATTTACTGATAATTAATAGAGCCCTGCACAGATACAAAATTTGCATCTGCATATAATCTGCAATCCACAAAAATGGTTTGTGGATTTCAGGGCTCTAATGATTTGTAGTAGTTGTTGTAACTTTTATCACTAGTGATTTAATCACATAGAGGAGCTGTCCTAGGATTCTGAATCTGTTTTAATTATATTTAAAAATAAAAAGAGGTAAGAACAACAAATAGTTTTGTTTAGTAAATTAAGTAGCTCTGAGGCAAAAGAGTAATTACTCCTTATGTAATGGACCTTTGTAATAGCTTGTCTTATCTTATTCAGTCTTTAAAAAGTGAAAAATCATCAATGATTGAGTAACATAACTTGTGTAATACATTTTATTTTAGAACTCTCTTCTTCGAGAAGTTGAAAATATAAAGAAACAAGTAGAGGATCTTCAACATGAAAAGGTATTATACAGATTTTTTTCAAATTCAACTGCTCCATTGGGACATAGCTGGAATATGATATAAACCTATCCTGCTATAATAACTAGAAAGTTATGTAGTAAATATTGTGTAAAAAGATTTACACTTCCTAGATTTCTTGCCTCACTCTTGGTAATATGTTGTGGAACAATTAGTACTGTCATTGTTAATTAGAAAAGGTTGGTTTCCCTCCTTCATTGCAGAAGCTTATAGTTGCAGCTACTACAGGTGACAGTTTTTCAGTAGACTACCCTATTTAACCTATATAAGTTAAGTATAAACTAGGTGAAAATGAGGGAGCTGTATTGATGACTAAAAGAGCCTATTTAACCTACATAAGTTCACCTTGTTTATACTTAAAATGAGGGAGCTGTATTGATGACTAAAAGATTTACCCTGAGTTGCTCAGGTCCTTAACTCAAATAAGCTTTGTTTTTCTTCATTTAAATAATCGTTCTGGGGTAGGGCTGGGAATGCGGGATTCAGTATGTAGGCTACCCTGGGAGAAGAGAACAATCCCAGCTTCCCTCACTGCAGCAGCTTGGGCCAGGTGAGAAATGCCAATGTCTATGGCCACTACAACAGGCACAGGGGAGGGATACATGTCCTCTAGCTGGAGGACAGACCACAGACAAACTCTGTGAAATATATAGTAGTTAGCTGTCCCTTTCTCCACCGCTGCTAGCCTTGTGGGGTAATAGCTCTCCCAGTCCTAACTAATCTTGTGGGGTAATAGCTCTCCCAGTCCTAATCTCAGACCCCTTGCTTGCCCCCCTGTGGTCATTCTACAGTAAAACTGCCTCTCCTACTAGATTCTTCCCTTTCCATTTTATGATAAACTGTTGAATTCCAGGCATATCCCATTGTCCTGGCCTAACCAAACCTGTACCATGCTTTAAGTTATGACAAGTTGAAGCTATATACCAAATTTGGTGGTCCTAGCTTACCTTTTGGAGGAATTCTTGAACAAACAGATTCACGAACAGACTGACTGATGCACATTTCTAAAGTCTACAGCAAGATTTGCCAGAATTGTGAAGGCCCTATCTAACTCCCATTTTTTGTACAACTTGTGTGTTGTAAAACTACAAATAAAACTTTTCAGTGATAAGTGCGTCTTAATGTATAATTTTATAACTGAAGCATCCAGTTACGTTATGAGAAGCCTGTAACTGAACAATAATGTAAAATCTGTACACCTCTGTTTTTAAAACCACTTTAAAAATTTATAGATTGAAACAGGAGAAGCACCTATCATTCTTGGCTGCTGTCATGAGCTCTTGTCAGGGGAAGATTAAGCAGAACAGAGCCCTTGCACTAAAGCTTTTGGGGATGTTGTAAAGAAGAGGAGTGGTCTATATTTAGACTTTTTCACTTTCTGGGCATGGAATCTGAGTGTAAAAAATTACTTTGTCTGGCCATACCACTTCTTTCTTGATAATATGCACCCAGCCTTTCATTGACTGCTTATCAAAATTGGGGTGGTTCACATTGTGACGTCACAATACTTGTATGGTTTATTCAGCAATACTTGTATGGTTTATTCAGCAAAATGTTTCCCAAAATATTTCGCTGTGAAGTTAGTTTTAAGTTTGGCCAAGTTGCACAGTCTTTACTTAAAGAAACCAGCGGCTACAGGTTTGTGTTAGGTTTCAGAGGGGTAGCTGTGTTAGCCTGTTTCAGCAAAAACAATGAGTCAGATGGCACTTTAAAGATTAAGAAATGTACTAGGGCATAAGCTTTGTCACCAGTCTCAAGGTTGTATTAGTGTTTTGTGGGATGGGCTTTGAATATCTTTGGCATGGGACAGTAGTTCTCAACCTGGGAACTGCCACTTGCCATCAGCTATCTAGGTTGCTAATTGCACTCTCCTCAGTCTTCTTTTGAAGAGACTTGTCCATTTAATCACTACATACCTATAAGATTTTGCCGAGCAAGAGGAGATTCTAGTTGCAAGTAGTTGGATTTAAGGTTCCATTTCGTATAGAGCTTCAACTATTCTCAGCCTGTCTGTTAGATAATCATTCACGCTTAGATACATCTCTTATTCAGTGGTTTCAATATGAAAACAATCGGCATTTATCTGACATAATTGCACTGGGCTATCTGAATTACCACAACTTCGTAGGGAAGTTACACTTCAATTAATTGATTAATCGAATAGTTGATGCAATTTGCATTGATAATTCTATTAGTTGATAGGGTGCCTCCACCTTTGAAGTGTAGCAGTCGCCTTAGGGCTGTTGCTACACTACAAAGGCAAAAGTGCTGCAAGGATCACAGGGCCAGCAGAGCAGTCCCCTGCTGGCTCCATGCTTGCCATGATGTTTCAAAGCGGCAGCACCCTATGGAGGGAGTCAGCTGGGGGAGTCCCCTGCTGACCCCAGGCTCCGGGCGGCACTGACGCTTTGAAACACCGCGAGGAACCCAGCCTCAGGCTGCACATGGTGTTTCAAAGCGGCGGCGCTGCATGGAGCCTGAGTCAGCTGAGGACTCCCCCGCTGACTCCAGGCTCCACATGGCACTGCCACTTTGAAACACTCCTTTCTCTCCCCGCCCCTCTTGCTGCCTCTTTCTGATAGAGGCAGCAACGGATGGGGAAGCAACTGGCCTGTCGACTATCCAATAAGCAAATGCACACTTAGATAAATCTAAGTACTTCACATCCCTATTACTTCCAGTTCTTCATTCTGGTGTTTGGTAGATCAACAGTGTTGATTACCATTCTGAATATAGTAGAAGTCTTTTGAAATTCTACTACACCGATGAGTAGTTTTGAAGGGATTAGATATTCTGTGCAATCGTGGAAACGAGCTCTATGGGCCTAGAAGTTTTGAAGGGATTAGGTATTCTGTGCAATTGTGGAAACGAGCTCTATGGGCCTAGAAGATATATGCATTTTTTTAAAAGTGCATATAATGGCAGAGCTCTTATGTCTCTTTCCTGATTTTGTTTGTTTGTTTGTTCTATTCTTTGTAGGATCAACTGATACTCGATATTGAAGCAATAAGGGTTGAAAATGACCAAATGAGGATCAGGGCTGCTTCTCTTCATAATAGGTACAAGCATTTAATTAGAATACTGTTTTGCTAGAGGTTACAATCATCTGCTAAATGTAATTGTTTTTTGTATAATTTGATACATAATAAGAGGGAATATTTCTGTGCCAAAGTTAAAATACTACTTTCAGTCTAAAAATAAAAAGTAGAGGAGTCTTTTCCGTACTCCTAAAGTTTGACTTTCTGTGCACATTTTAGCCGACCACATTTGGGTAGTGTACCGGATTTCAGATACCCAATGACACCATTATCTGTGGCTGACAGTCATACGGATCCCTATAGCACCTCATCAGTGTTACGACGGCCCCAGAAAGGGCGTTTGGCAGCTCTACGAGATGAACCTTCAAAGGTAATGGAACATTATTACTTTGATAGCAAAGTATGCTTATATTCAATTGATATAATAAACAATTCCAGGTTTGTAGGATAGGAATACATAGTGTGTGACTGCTGCATAGTGTGGCCTTGTTAAATAATGACACTAGAATTTTCCACTTTTACAGTATGTATTGTTTATCAGAGTTTTATCCATAAAGTAGGTTACTCAGAAGTTTTAAAATCTCTTCTCTCTCTTCTTTGTTTTTTTTTTATTTTTTTAAGGGATTGATGTTTTTCTATTGTACATTCTCTTCTTTGTTTTTTTGATTTTTTTAAGGGATTGATGTTTTTCTATTGTACACTAAAGTGTAGGTTTTTGCTAGATTCTGCTTTCTGGATTAACTGGATTTCGTGATTCACTAAATACATAATTGCCAGTATTTTAAATGTACTTTTTAATTGTTATTTAGTAACTAAAAAAGTAGGGATTTTGGTATTATTTTCCTTGTTAAAAAGCATGATAGAAAGTAGTTTGCAACTGAAAAATATCATCTGAAACAACCCAAATTCAGATCTTAATTGGTGTGCACTTTCAAAGATGTTGCAATTTCAATTTAATAATCTAGCATGCTATCCATTGTTCAGCAAGCAATACTTCTGTCCCTTTAAATATTTCAGCTTCAACAGGGCTCAATTCCTAAATATTGAGTTGACTCAAATGTATGATGGAATTTGGATTAATGTTGGCAAACCTTTGCAATACAGGCAGTCCCCGGGTTACGTACAAGATAGGGACTGTAGGTTTGTTCATAAGTTGAATTTGTATGTAAGTCAGAACTGGTATATATTGTAGGGGAAACTCTAGCCAAACATTTCTCCAGAGCTGTTTTATTCTCCCACACCTCACTTCCCTCAGTCCTTTATTCTCAAGCTGAGGTGTCTGCTGGGAAAAGCCGCTCCGCGTCTCCCTGGTCTGCTCGGGGGGAGCGCTAGCTTCGCATTTCCCTGGTCTGCTGGGGGGAAGCAGCTAGTGCGGGGGTGCCTCAAC